TGGGCCCGGGCGCTGGGTCCGGAGCACCGCGGCTGCTACATAGAAACGGACGCTTTACTGACTTTGTTTCCAGTCACGTTGCCTTAGTCACTTTCGTTTATTCAAATTATTTTATTTTCTAATAGAGTTTCTACATCCCTAATGAGTCGGCTACAAATGCCAGTTGTATTTTTCCTGATGGTTTTATTCATTTCTGTAGCTTTATCGGGCTGGCCAGGCTGCGGGGGGCGGGTAGAGTAGAGCCGGCGTTCTGGGCGCACAGCTCGTCCTCGGATTCAGTGGGTGGGGAACTTCCGATGCGTCTGCGTTAAATGGCACGTTCACCACAGGGCACGCACGCACCCCTCGTCAGCCTCAGCGCACTTCTTTCTAGCGCTGCTCTGCTTAACGTCTGTGGCAGACGTTGACTTTTATATGATGCGTTTTCTATAGAGACGATTGTACAACTTCCCTTTATTCTCTTTCCTGGTGTGAGGTGATTTCCTTAGGAGCCATACCTACACCCCTAAAATAAGCACAGCACATCTGTGCTTGTTCTCCTGTTGACATATTTATTGCGTAGCATTTGAGGACACAGTGTTTAGGACTTTTGCCCGTTCACAACAGGTTGCCTCGTGTGTGTGTGTGTGTGTGCGCGAGTGCACGCTCCTCCCGTTGGTTGGAATGAAGGTTGATCTGACCTCACGACGAACGGAGGAGTGTTCTTTTCCCTGTGCTCTCAGGAGTGTGTGTCATTAGTGTGATTTCTTCTCTGAAACACTGGAAACATTTCGGGGGAGGCCATCTGTCTCGGTGATGCTTTTATGAAAAGATGTGCCGGGCCAAATGTGATGTCTTTCTCAGAGACAGGATTGGTCGTGTTTTTATTTCTTCTTGTGGCAATTGTCATTTGTGTTTTTCAAGGAAAATTTCCATTTCAATTAATTTAAACACTTGTGGCATTCAGTTGTTGTTCACCCAATCCTCTTAAAATCTCTTCATGGCGATTCTTCTTTTTCCAGTTCTGATGTTGCCCTAAGCCTCCTTTTGTTTCATTTCTTAAAGTTAATAGGGGTTTATGGATTTTATTAATCTTTAAAGACTAATGATTTTTTCCGCTGTTGATTTTTCTCAACACTATGTGTTTTTCTGTTTAATTAATTTCTGCTTTTATCTTTATTATTTTTCATTTGGTTTTTGTGTTCTATTGTATTCTTACTTCCTGTGATGCGGAGTTAAACCATTGATCTTTTATCTTCACTGCATTTAAGGTGGCAAGTTTTTCTTATGTTTAGGCTCAGTCATACGTTCGCAAACTTCAGTTCAAAATATCTTCTAATCCTTTAACTTTTCCTCTGACAATACATTTTTGGAAGGATATGGCTTAGTTTGAAATGGCCGTTCACGAGCCATCTGTGTTGTTCCAATCCGACTCCCTGTGGTCAGCTCCATCCTCTGATGTGTTCAGTGTTGTAACGTGCTGGGCCCGCCCGCGGCTGCTGCGTGCGGCCAGCTTCGGCAAGCGCTCCGCTTATACCTCAGTGGGACGGAATGGCTTTGTTCGTGGATCCTGGGCTCGGCACAGACTGGCAGCTCAAGGTCATTAACCCTTCTGTTCAGGTCTCTCCAGTCCTCACTGTCATTTCCTGGTCAATCAATCTGACTTATCTCTACCTATGTATTTTTTTCTTAGAGATGTGTTATTGCTAGTTTTTGCTTCTTATATTTTGAGGTAACAGAGTGGCATTTCCATTTGGGTGCTTGTATCTCCCTGGAAAAGGCGCCCTTTTATCGTTATGAAACGCTCCGTCTCTCCCAGTGGTTTGTGGCTTTAACATCTGTGTTATCTGACCTGCGTGTCTGTCAGCTTCTCTGCGTTAACGTTGAACAGTGTCTTTTCTCCATCACTTACTCCCCGGCCTTCTCCACCCTGACGTGCAGGCTGCGCTCCGCACACACGTGGCCGCCTGTGTTCTGTCCCCGGCCGCCCGTTCATGTTGACTGCGGAGCTGATCCTCGCGGATTCGAACCTGCCGCCTCCCCGGGCGCATTCTGTGTGTTGCGTCTCCTCGATATTTTGTCTCCCCTCCTTTCTTGCCTTCTGCCGTGTTAACCACGATTTATTTTATTGATCCATCTGTTGCTATAAGCCTCTCTTTACACAAATCTTTGTCTTCATTTCTGGTTATTTCATTAGCATAAACTAGTAGGAGTAAAATCATAGATCAGATATCACAACATTTTAAGCGTCATGGTAAGTAAAAGCAAATTACCTTTCTGATTGTTTGAGCAAATGTATGTTCCCATGAGAAGTTTATGAGGACTTTTCTTTTTTAATATTTTTGAAATATTTTTTAAAATAATTCTTCGTTGTTGAAAGTATTACATATGTCCGCCTTCCTGCCCCATTATGAGTGCTTTTCTCATCCAGTCTCACTGGCATTCAATTATAGCTCATTTTTCATCGTCCCCAAGTTAAAAGGCCATGATTGTGTCTTCCTTCCTTTTACTGAATTTATTGGGTTGACATTGGCTAACAAAACTGTACAACTCAACAAAACATCG